GGCCATGGGAACACTTCCCCTTTGCCCTCTGACGATGTGCTGAAAATCACTAGGAGGCAGAGTAATAATGGGAAAAAAAGGCATATAAAATTATTTGATTATAGTTTTATGTATATGGGAGCTTTCAAAGAAACGGGGAAAACTGTCTGTTTTTATACTCAGTTAAATGAAGCATGGACAGCCAGGTAGAAATATTAATGGACACAAAGGGTATGATCTAATGCTGACACACTGAGTGGGGAAACCCAGCAAGGCCTGTCTGCCTAGATTCTTGATGTCTCTGAGCATGTATTTCTTCCTTCTGTATATGGGGCAGAACCCTCTCTGGAATGAGAGTCTTATGATCTACAATCAAACAAGACAGGTCAGATAATTTCTGTATGGCCAATTTTTACACAGAAAATGGGGGCATGGGGGCAACCTGGAGTAATATTTTTAAGTTTTATGGCTGGTTTAAAGGAAAAAGGGCTCTGGTTTCTGTGATCTGCCTTGGGAAAGATGGATTCTAGTTTCTATGGCTAACCTCAAGGAAGAATGAAAGGCCAGAGACAGGAGGGTAGGAGAAGGTCAAAGAAACACCCTTGCTTCTGAGGCTACTCCTGAAGCCTTGATTTTGGGGTATTGTTTTCTAAGCCCCAACAAGCAGTAAAACTCACCCGACACAAGACCACTGAAAAGGTTTTTCTGGTTTCATAATACAATTTTAATTAACATTTTGCCTATTTATTTTAAGATTGAGCCTCTTCAAATATTTAAAATCCATTTGTATATCCTTTTTCTCTGTTCATATCCTTTTTCTATTTTCTCATGTTATGTTTTTAGGAAACTGACTTGTAGACATTATTTATATGTAAATATGGGTTTTGTAATATATGTTGGTTTGTTATGCAGAAAATTTTTTATAGTCAGATTTATTCAAGTTTTACTTTAATTGCTTTTGGCTTTTGTTTTATACTTGGAAAGTCCTTTTCTAATCCATGATTACAAAACAACAACAACAACAAAAAACCTTATGGTTTCTTCTATTACTTTTGTAATTTATATTTTAATGTTTTCTTTATATAAATTTTACATATTTCTTGTTAAGATCATTTCTAGGTATTTTATCATTTTTATTGCTATTTTAAGTGGATTTTATCTTTTATTAGATCTCCTAACTCATTGTTGTTTCAATATACAAGGGCTACTAATTTCTGTATACAGATTTTTTAGTCAGTCACCTTATTCAATTCTGAAAAGGTATTTATGTAATTGTTTTTAGATTTTCACAAATAAAATTATGTTACCTGCAAATAGTAATAATTTAAACTCATCCTTTCTCATATTTAAACCCCTAAATTATTTTTTCACTTTCTACACTTGGTATTCCCAGAGTAATGTTAGACAATAGTGTGATAGCAAGCCTTCTTGTCTTGCTACTCAGGTAATCTTATATCTTAAATCATCTTATAACTTCCTAACTTCATTAGCTTCTCCCTATTTGCTAGATCTTTTTAACCTTGAAAAACTCTCTGTGGATATCATACTGCAGATCAGTATGAAGCCACTGCTCTCTCACTTTTCTTTTAAATGTCTTAGAAAAGTTATTTACAGTTGACCCTTGAACAACATGGGTTTGGACTACATGAGTTCACTTGTATGTGGATTCTCTTCAGCCTTTGGTAACCTAGAGACATCAAGACCAATGCCTTCTCTTCCTCCTCCTCCTCAGCTTACTTAATGTGAAGATGATGAGGATGGAGATCTTTATGATGATCCACTTCCATTTAATGAATATAAGTATACTTTATCTTCCTTATGATTTTCTTAATAACATTTTCTTTTATCTGGCTTACTTTCTTGTAAGAATAAAGCATATCATACATATAACATGCAAAATATATGTAAATCAGTTGTTTATGTTATCAGTAGTACCAGCAGCATGCTATTAGTAATTAAGTTTTGGGAAGTCAAAAATTATATGTGGAATTTTGACTGTGCAGAAAGTCAGCACCCCTAACTCCTGCATCGTTGAAATGTCAGCTATATTCTTTTTCTTCTCAGATTCTCATCTTCCACTTATTCCACCATTAGTTTCAATCTAGCTTTTGTTTCTGTCACCAGGCGGGTCAGGTCTGTGAATAAAGCAGGCCTCAAGAAACTCTTTGGTGGTGGTGACAGTTGCAGGGAAACAGAGTTCCAGAGGTGACCATTGGCAGCAGTGTAAAAAGTGGTGTCTAACGCACAGTTCAAGTCTTCTCCCTGGGGTCAGATGTGACAGCTAGGGTCCACTGGCTGCATCAATAGCATCTTCTCTTGATTTCCTCTGCAACATGCTTTTGGACATTGTTTCTGGCTACTGGACTCTAATCTGGTTTACCGCATCTCTCAGAGATTTAATAAATTACCTAATGTCCTTTAAATACATTCAGTGTCTGCTTATATTCACAACTGTTTGGTTTCTGTTACTTGCTCTTGCTGAGATTACCAATGTACTCATTGAATCATAGTATTCAACCTAATTAATTATTTCCTCTTTCTAGAATTATTCTTGTTCCTCAGTTTCTAGGATGCCACATTTTTAGTTTCCTTTTTTCCTCTCTGGCCACTTTTAGGTTTCTTTTTCTGGCACTACCTTCTCTTCAGCCTGTCATTTAAATATTCCCATTTCTCAGGATTAGACCTTATTATTCTCACAATATGCTCATGTCCTAACAGATTTCATATATTTACATGGCTGGAAATATAATCAATTTGCTGACTACTTCTAAACTTGTTTCCTCAGCATAGATTGATGTTACAAGTTCCATATCTACATATATAACTATGCTCAGCATATCTGCTTATGTATCTCATATGCAACTTGAACTCTAAGTTATGATATTTGCCCCTACAATTGTCTCATTTCAGTGAATTACATCATCATCTAGCCAGTGCTCATGTCAGAAATCTTAGAATCATCCTTTACTTTTTCCCTCTTGCCCCCTAAATATAACCAAGCCCCAAGTCCTATCAATTTCTTTTCAGCTCTGTCAGCTTCTTCACTTTTATCACTTTGGGTCTAATTACCATCATTTCTTATTTGAGTCCCTATCCACTTAACTGATTCTTGAATTCACTCTTATTTTCACCAATCCATTCTCTTTACGGCAGTCAAATTGCTGTTTTTAAAACTGGAAAATGTATCATATGACTTCTCTATTGCAAATCCTTCAATGGGTTCCCATTGCTGATACAACGAAATCCAAAATACTCTATACTCAACCCAAAAGAATATCCTTTACCTGGTCTTTTTTGACCTCATTAGGCTCTTATGCACTTCTTCTATCCCGTATTAGTCAGTGTACAGCTGGAAAAACAGAATCCAGGAACCGTTTCAATGAATAAAATATTACCTGGAGATCAGGAAGCTGTTATCACCTTCCACTAGTCTTTACTTCCCTTGCATATGTTGCAGGCATTGTGCCTATTCTTGCCACCTCGTGACAGAAATTAATATAAAATGTGCTTACCAACGACTTAACAAAATGTAATTTGCAGGCTTCTAGCTCCTGTGATTGAGAGGGGAACACAAATAACAGGCACATGTTCCTACTCTAATTTTTCAAATGAACCAAACTTGGCTTTTAAACCACTCTATCAAGATACACACACACACGTTCACACACAAACACAATTTCCATAAGGTTAATATTAATTTATTCTTTGGGTATTAGCCTAAACGACAGTTCATCAACAAAGCTATTTTTGTCCCCAACATATTAATTTTGTTCCCTCAGTATGTACCCTCTGGCACCCCGTGCCTTTCCTCATAACATTCATAAAACTGAGACTAAATAATTAAATAGATGATATTCATTTAATATCTACCACTCATGCCAAAGTAGAAAGTCATAGATACGAAAGTCACATATGCCTTATTCATTGCTACATCCCCACTGGATGGAGCGTGGAAGACGGGGAATAAATATTTGCTGAATAAATGCAGCGTATCTTCTATTAGAGTATTCAAAAGGGAAGTACCTTCATTTATTGTTAATAATCTCTTCAGGGACAAAAACTGTTTGAAGTGGCTGTTTTACCATAAGCAAAAGAGTCCGTTTCTCAGGGATTTCTCTTATGTCATACAGAAATTTACCAAAAGTGACGTATTAAGTTGTGAGGGTTAATTTTAGGTATCAACTTGACTGGACTAAGTAATATTCACAGACAGGTAAAGCAAAACTTCTGGTGTGTCTGTGAGGGTGTTTCCAAAGGAGACTGGCCTGTAAGTCAGTGGACAGAGTGGAAACTTTCAAGTGGGCAGACACCATCCAATTGGCCGGGGGCCCAACAGTACAAAAAAGGACAGAAAAAGATTTTCCCTCTCTCTCTCCTGGAGCTTACATGCTCTCTTCCCTCTGTCCTTGGACATTAGAACTCAACGCTCTCCAGCCTTAGGACTCTAGGACTCACACTAGTGGCACTCCCACCTTGGGTTCTCAGGCCTTTAATCTCAAACTGAGAATTACACAATCCACTTCCCTTGTTCCAAGGCTTTTCAACTTGTACTGAGCAATGCTGTTGCCATGTCAAAATCTTCAGCTTGCAGACAGCCTGTAGTGGGACTTCTCAGCTTCCATAATTACATGAGCCAGTTTCTATAACAAATCCTCTCTCTCTCTCTCTCTATCTATCTATCTATCTACCTACCTATCTAATTACCTAGCTGCTTATCAACCTATGTATCCTATTGCTTCTATCTCTCTGGAAAACCCTGACTAATATAAGTGTCTTGGAACCATGAATGTCTAAATATTTTTCAATAATCTAATATATTCCATATTAATTTAAGTAACCAAGAAGACAGTTATAAAAATAGATAGGAAAAAGGATCCAAAATAAGAAAAATTAGAAAGCAAAGAACCCTCTAATCTTGAGGTTCTAGCACATCAAGATATAGAAACATAACAAAATATATGAAAACAGATTTTCACAGATTTGAAAACAAAAAGCGAAAACAACAAAATCTGAAATCTTACCACATTGGGAGGTCAAGATGGGAATCCAGGAGTTTGAGACCAGCCTGGGCAACATAGCAAGACCCTGTCTATACAAAAAATGTAAAAAATTAGTTGGACATGTGACACACACCTGTGGTCCCAGCTACTGGGAATATGAAAACAACAAAATCTGTTTTACCTAAATATTCACATACATTTTATGCCATAATGATATTTTCAGATAGTGAATGGCAACATGTGAGCATTAAAGTATTTGATACTGGAAGAAATAGAATTGATTCATTTGACAAGCTGGCTGAATGTGCTCCAATTTGACTCTATCTATCAGGTCAACTCCTTTGGCTCTTTATTCCAATAACAGAAAGTCTCTAGGATACAAGAGGGCAGCTGAGCTATCAGCAGTCTGTTATCTTTGAAGCTGGGTTCCTGATTCTGCAATTAGATTTTAAAAATTCTAATAATCAGTGCTTGTTCTATTTTTAAGAGGTGAGTTGTATCTATGCTCTTCCATCATCAGAGGCTTATAATATAACCATTTATAGATTCTGATTTGTGGGGGAAGGTGGAGATAAGGTTACAATCAACGAACTTTGAAATTATTGCTAAGAGAGAGGAAAGGGTGAGAAGGGAAGTTACATTAAGAGGTAATTGATGTAGTTCATCTATGAGTGCTTTTTTATTGGGGAAATAGGAAGCAGTCTTATCCAATGAAAGTGTATGGGCTAAGGAAATGGATGGAGGCTTGAGGAGAAAGGGAAAAATTTGAAGCAGTCACTGCAAAGTCTTCAAAAAGATGACTGTAAGGATTCTTGCATAGCTTTGAGAATTTGAAGAGAAGTTTGATATCATGAAATATCAGGAATTATAATTGGCACCCTGTTGATATTTTATGAAGCAACTCTTGATATGTACGGCAGGAGGGCTGAATGCCGTTAGTGAGGGTTAGCAAAGCAGACAAGGGCTGATGAGCATGTTATTGAAAAGTTTACCATGAAGTCCAATCTGAATAGAAAGGCAGAAAAGCCAGAATTGGAGTCATGGATTTGGAGATAAGTATTACAAGACAAAAGTTGGAAGACAAAGCATAAATTCAACAGTGATGATAAATTGCTAGGAAAACAGGAGGCTAGGCAAGAAAAAAACTTTTAAATGAGAAATTCCTACTGAGACCAGAGGTTCTCAGGAGATTGAAAACAACTGATTTTGTCAAGGACTTCAAGTAGAAGCAGAATTTTAGAAACACACACAGAAGTTCAAAAGGTGGGGGGGGGGGTTGTTAAATAAAGGCTACAGATAATGGTCTAGAAGTAGATTACCCAGCCCTGTTTCAAGAAACATGGGTTGAATACGTGGAATAAACAGAAGCTTTTTTAAAGAAAAGGCTGCCAAAGATCTTCAATTTTAAGATAAAAATTCATGTTTCATTTAGTTTGAGAAGGTAGACTGGGATGTTTGTTTGTGGTGGAACAGGGTTCTTAAAGAGTCTTATAGACAAGATGGCCGAATAGGAACAGCTCTGGTCTGTAGCTCCCAGTTGGGAGCACGGTGGAACCCAATGCAAGGAAGCCAAGAACCTTGAGACCAACACAGAAAGTGGGTGATTTCTGCATTTCCACTGAGGCACGCAATTCATCTCATTGGAACTTGTTAGACAGTGGGCACAGCCCAAGGAGGGCAAGCAGAAGCAGGGTGGGGTGTTGCCTCACCTGGGAAGTGCAAGGGGTAGGGAAATTCCCTCCCCTAGCCAAGGGAAGCTGTGAGGGACCCTGCCAGACACTATGCTTTTCCCATGGTCTTTGCAACCCACAGACCAGGGGATTCCCTCTCCCTCAGGTGCCTACATCACAAGGGCTCTGGGTTTCAGGGGCAAAACTGGGTGGCTATTTAGGCAGACAAGCTAGCTGCAGGAGTTTTTTTTCATACCCCAGTCATGCCTAGAAAGCCAGGGAGACAGAATCATTCGCTAAAGCCAGGCAACCAATGGTCTTGCTCAGTGGATCCCACCCCCACAGAGCCAAGCTAAAATTCTAGCTTGAAATTCTCACTACCAGGAAAGCAGTCTGAAGTCGACAACGAACTCTAGACCTTGGTGGGGGTGGGGTGAGGGGCATCTGCTTGTACTGAGGCTTCAGTAGGCAGTTTTCCACTCAGTGCAAACAAAGCCCTGAAAAAGTTCAGACTGGGCGGAGCCCACCATGCCACAAAGCTACTGTTGCCAGACTGCCTCTCTAGATTTGCCCTCTCTGGACAGGCATCTCTGAAAGAAAGGAAGCAGCCCAAGTCAGGGGCTTATAGACCAAACTCCCATCTCCATGGAACAGAGCACTTGGGGGAAGGGGCAGCTCTGGGCACAGCTTCAGCAGACTTAAACGTTCATGCCTGCTGGCTCTGAGGAGAAGAGCAGATCTCCCAACGCAGTGCTCGAGCTCTGCTAACGGACAGTCTGCCTTCTTAAGTGGGTCCCTGAACCCCATGCCTGCTGACAGGGAGACACCTCCAAGCAGGGATTGACAGATGTCTCATACAGGAGAGCTCCAGCTGGCATGTGGAGGGTGCTCCTCTGGGACAAAGCTTCCAGAGAAAGCAGCAGGCAGAAGTCTTTGCTGTTCTATAGTCTCTGCTGGTGATACCTAGGCAAACAAAGTCTGGAGTGGACCCCCAGGAAACTCCAGCAGACCTGCAGAAGACAGGCCTTGTTAGAAGGAAGACTAACAAATAGAAAGTAATAGCATCGACATCAACAAAAAAGATGACCCTGCAAAAACTCCATATGAAGATCACCAACAGCAAAGAACAAAGGTAGATAAATCCAGGAAGATGAGAAATAATCAGCACAAAAAGGCTGAAAATTCCAAAAACCAGAATGCCTCTTCTTCTTCAAAGGCTCACAACTCCCCTCCAGCAAGGGAATGAAACTGGATGGAGAATGAATTTGACAAATTGACAGAAGTAAGCTTCAGAAGGTGAGTGATAACAAACTCCTCTGAGCTAAAGGAGCACGTTCTAACCCAATGCAAGGAAGCTAAGAACCTTGAGAAAATGTTCGAAGAACTGCTAACTAGAATAACCAGTTTAGAGAAGAAAATAAATGACCTGTTGGAGCTGAAAAACACAGCATGAGAACTTCATGAAGCATACATAAGTTTCAGTAGCCAAATCAATCAAGCAAAAGAAAGCATATCAGAGATTGAAGATCAACTTAATGAAATAAAGCATGAAGACAAGATTAGAGAAAAAAAGAATGAAAAGAAATTACCAAACCTCCAAGAAATGTGGGACTATGTGAAAAAGAACAAACCTATATTTGATTGGTGTACCTGAAAGTGACAGGGGAGAATAAAACCAAGTTGGAAAACACACTTCACGATATTATCCAGGAGAACTTCCCCAACCTAGCAAGACAGCCCAACATTCATATTCAGGAAATACAGAGAACACCACAAAGATACTCCTCAAGAAGAGCAATCCTGAGACACATCATCCTCAGACTCACCAAGGTTGAAATGAAGGAAAAAATGTTAAGGGCAGCCAGAGAGAAAGGTCAGGTTACCCACAAAGGAAAGCCCATCAGACTAACAGGGATCTCTCTGCTGAAACCCTACAAGCCAGAAGAGAGTGGGGGCCAATATTCAACATTCTTAAAGAAAAGAATTTTCAATCCAGAATCTCATATCCAGACAAACTAAGCTTTGTAAGTGAAGGAAAAATAAAATTCCATACAAACAAGCAAATGCTAAGGGATTTTGTTGCCACCAGGCCTGCCTTACAAGAGCTTCTGAAGGAAGAAGTAAATATGGAAAGGAAATACCACTACCAGCCATTGCAAAAACAAACCAAAATGTAAAGACCATCAACACTATGAAGAAACTGCATCAACTAAAAGGCAAAATAACCAGCAAGCATCACAATGACTAGATGAAATTCACACAATATTAAGCTTAAATGTAAATGGGCTAAATGCCCCAATTAAAAGGCACAGACTGGCAAATTGGATAAAGTGTCGAGACCCATCCCCATTGGTATGCTGAATTCAGGAGACCCATCTAACACACATAGACTCAAAATAATGGGATGGAGAAATATATACTAAGCAAATGGAAAGCAAAAAATAGTGGGTTTGTAATCCTAACCTCTGATAAAACACATAATTGGAACCAAAACACTCTCAAACAGTCTCTCAGATCACAATGCAGTTACATTAGAAGTGAGGATTAAGAAATCCACTCAAAACTGCAGAACTACATGGAAACTGGATGATCTCCTCCTGAATCACTACTGGGTAAATAATGAAATTAGGGCAGAAGCAAATAAGTTATTTTAAACCAGTGAAAACAAAGACAATGTACCAGAATCTCTGGGTCACAGGTAAAGCAGTGTTTAGAGGGAAATTTATAGCACTATATCCTCACAGGAGAAAGCGGGAAAGGTCTCAAGCGGGCACCCTAGCATCACAATAAAAAGAACTAACGAGGCTGGGTGTGGAGGCTCACGCCTGTAATCCCAGCACTTTGGGAGGCCAAGGCAGGCGGATCATGAGGTCAAGAGATTGAGACCATCCTGGTCAATGGTGAAACACTGTCTCTACTAAAAATACAAAAATTAGCTGGGCATGGTGGCTCGCGCCTGTAGTCCCAGCTACTCAGGAGGCTGAGGCAGGAGAATTGCTTGAACCCAGGAGGCGGAGGTTGCGGTGAGCCGAGATCACACCATTGCACTCCAGCCTGGGTAACAAGAGGGAAACTCCATCTCAAAACAAAAAACAAGAAAAGAACTAAAGAATCAAGAGCAAACAAATTAAAAGCTTGAAAAAGACAAGAAATAACTAAGATCACAGTAGAACTGAAGGATATAGAGACATGAAAAACCCTTCAAAAAATCAGTGAATCCAGGATCTTGTTTTTGAAAAGATTAACAAAATAGATAGACCACTAGCTAGACTAACAAAGAAGACAAGAGAGAAGAATCAATCAGACACAATAAAAAATGATAAAAGGGAGATCACCACGAATCCCACAAAATACAACTACCAACAGAGAATATTATAAACACCTCTATGCAAATAAACTAGAAAATCTAGAAAAAATGG